TATATATATATATATATATATATATATATATATATATATATATATATATATATATAAAAATTAAAATCAATTATTTCAGAGTAGCTTTAGGAGGGGAGCCGATGGGGGGGCTGTACCGGCGGACTGCCCTCCGGTGACCGCAGTCAAAGTGGCTGCTAACATGCGCTGTCTTCTCCAGGCCCTGTGAGACCGGCAAAGGCGAGTCGGATGTAATTTATTTCGCCCTCTGTTCAGATTGCTTGTTTTTTGTTCTTTTAAATTTTGGTTTATTTCCCGTTCTTGTTGAGGATGTCGTGCTTTGAGTGTCTGTGAGTTTGCGTGTGAGTTTGCGTGTGCCTTAGGCTATACACAGTGCTTACTTTCCTTTCCGACATGACTGGATTGAAACGGGAAAGAAATGATGACGGCACTGTGGCCCGTCTGAATGCAATCCCAGACCTGCCTCAACCACCGATCACACACGTGGTTCATAGTGAAGCGAGGCCGTAGTTACGAGGCCTGAGCCGCCCCCTCACACCTGAACTGCGGACGCCTGGTTAACCCGCAAAGCCGATAACCGACATGCTTCTCATACGAGGCCGTTTCTTCCTCTTCTTTTTTTTAAATTATTTTTCGTTAATTTATACACATGTAATGTCTTACGAAAAAAGATCCAACAGTGATTTAAAATGAGAAAATAAAGCCTTTGTTGAATCTGTTGGTGATCCTGTGTGTTTGTGGCATGGTCTCTGAAATTTACAGTGCCTGTGGACATGGAGCTGTCATGACCTGCTCGTCTGATCCTCCTGTGTGCCACGCCCCCCTCGTTACCTCGTGTTAATTCCTGATTGTGATCACCTGTTGCCTGTTATTTTCGGCTTGTCCTGTGTATTTAGTCTGCGTCTCAGTCCGTTTTCCCCAGATCAGTCATTGATGTTCGTCGCCGTCTGACCTGTTCGTCTGAATAAACCCGTTTACTTCTTGGATTCTCGTCTGCCTGCCTTGTATTTCCCCACTTCCTGCCTGCCTATCTACCACGGTCACAACAGAATGACTGATCTCTCCAAAGACGCACAGCGGCGGACCGAAGATCGACGCAAACCAGTGTAGGACGCTATCCCACGAGTCCCGCGGGCTCTTAAAGGGGCAACACCTGCTCTTATGGTGCCAACCCTGGCAGCAAACATTGATATCCCTGACCCGCCTGTTCTGCCTGTGCTTCCCGTTCCTGACCTGCCTGTCCCGGCAGCTACCGCGCCGCCCCCTGCTGGCCCAGAGTCGGCAGTTCCTGCATCGCCCATGCCTGAGGTACAGGCACCGCCTATTGCTCCGCCCACTGTTCTGCCCAAGCCTCCACTCGTTGCTGCGCCCAAGGCTCCTGTTGCGGCTCCGCCTCCGCCTGCTGTGCCGCCTGCAGATCCGCCCGCGCGCGAGGCTTCTGCTGCGCCGCCTGTAGCTCTACCTGAGGCCCCGCCTCTGGCTGCTGCTCCGCCCCCTGCAGCGCCCGAGGTCCTGGCTCCCCCCGTGCCTGTGACTCCAGCCCCTGTGCCTGTGACCCCGGTCCATGTCCCCGAGGAGGTCCCGGACTTCCCGACCATCACTCCTTTCTCCTTGGAGGAGGAGCTTGAGTGGGACCTCTCTGGGACCTCCCTCATGACTCCTCTGCCTTCGCCCCAGCGAGGTCGATCCCAGCCTGAACCACGCCTTTCAGTGTCCTGAAACGGCAGGGGACACCTCCGCAGTGGTCGGGTCCCGCCCGCCCTGCCCCCTGGTTCGCCCTGCCCCCTGGTTCGCCCTCGCTCTCCCCGGCTGTGGCTAGGCGGCTGCCTGCCTCCGGTCTGGCTGTCGCCTGCGGGTCCCCCTCCGGGGGCTCGTAGTCTGCCAGCGGTCCCTCCTCCGACGCCTCGTCGGCTGCTTCCGAGTTCCCCTGCCTCGACTCTTCGGTCGCCTGCGGGTCCCCCCACTGCGGCTCGGCGTCGGACGGTGCCATCGCCTGCTGCGGCTTCCCCCTCCTTCTCGCCTGCGCCGTGGTCCCCTCCGCCTTCCTCTTTGCCTCTTCCGGTGCCCCCTCCTGCTTCCTCCTTGCCTCCTTCGTCGGTCCCTTCATCTGTCTCCTTGCCCCCTTCATGGTCCCCTCTTGCTCCCTCCTCCCGGTTGCCTGCAGTCCCTCCGGCTGCCGCCCGCTGTGGCTCCCTCGAGCTCCCCTTTGTCCTCCGACCTTTCCCGTTTGTCCTCCTGTGATTGCTCCTCGTCCTTGTGTCCCTCCTGTCTCTGCTCCTCGTCCCCCTGTCATGCCTCCGTTCACTCCTGGTCCTTTTGTTCCTCCATTCTCTGTGCCTTCTGTCTCTTCCTTTCTAGTGTGCCTGTCTGCGTTTCCTGTTTTGTGTCAGGTTTGGTCTTGGCTGTTACCCCTGTTCTTGTTCTGTGTTTCTGTTCTGTTCCTGGTCCCTCATTGATGTGTTTGCTCTTGTTTTTCAGGTCCCGTGTCCCCGGTCTCGTTTCGTCCGTCGCCTCCCCTGAGGCGCACCCAGAGTGCGCGCCTTTGGGGGGGGGGGGGTTCTGTCATGACCTGCTCGTCTGATCCTCCTGTGTGCCACACTCCCCTTGTTACCTCGTGTTAATTCCTGAATGTGATCACCTGTTGCCTGTTATTTTCGGCTTGTCCTGTGTATTTAGTCTGCGTCTGAGTCTGTTTAACTCAGATCAGTCATTGATGTTCGTCGCCGTCTGCCCTGTTTGTCTGAATAAACCCGTTTACTTTTGGATTCTCGTCTGCCTGCCTTGTATTTCCCTGCTTCCTGCCTGCCCGTCTACCACGGTCACAAATTTATCGATGTTACAGTGGAAAGTGCAGATGATGTTGCTCCCGGCTGTGAAGCAACGCCATGTAATGCAGCATTCTATAGCATCTAAGTGAGCCGAATTCGCCATATTGTCCTCAATCGCCCCTAACCTGCAACCACTTAGCGGGCTAATTTCGTCGTTACCGCCCATTTCTATGCAGATGGGCGTGGCGAATTTGCATATGTTCTCAACATTTAGTCTACATTTAACATTTACATTTATATTTACATTTAACATTTAGATATGTTAACATTTATATTTAACATTTATATTTATATTTAACATTTACATTTAACATTTAGATTTATATTTACATTTAACTTTTACATTTAATTTAGATTTATATTTAGATTTAACTTTTACATTTAACATTTAGATATAAGTTAACATTTAATATTTATATTTAACATTTATATTTACATTTAACTTTAATATTTACATTTAACTTTTATATTTACGTTTACATTTAACATTTATATTTGACATTTACATTTAATATTTATATATAGACATACCATTTATATTTTCATATGATGAACAATTGTGCTAAATGTCAGAAAATTGTTGAAAAAGTGGCAAGTACAAAAATGTTTCGTAACTTTACAAACGGCGCCCCATATTAAGGTACCGACACATTACTCGCGCTCGGGCTCCCGCCTCACGCGTCGCCTGGACAACCAAAGGCAAATGGTTTAGGCACAGAACCGCCCCGTGGCTAACTGGGCCCACCACTGTTTGATGGTTGCTATGCGATTGAAGCCGGTAAGTAGCCGCCTTTGAACCGACTATACTGCTAGGAGCGCGAGACCCGGCCGCAGCCATCAGCGATAATAGAACGGGAACCATCAGGTAAGGTTAAGGTTAGCTGTCCTTCTCGCCGTGCTGGAGTGCAGTTAAATGCTCGCTCATCATAGTCAGACATCTTTTGGACTTTCAAAAAGGAGGATATTCGAACGGGCGAATTATTGCAAAACAGCAGGTGCATCATTTAATGTTATTATTTATTAATCCCAGTTGGAAAATCAAATCGGTTCAGTGCGGTTATGGTATGCTCATGGCGTTTCTGTGCTGAAATTGCAGGTACCTGCTATTTAGTTAAGCAACTCCGGTGTAAAAGGTGCTACACTCTTTTTCTGTTAGTCAATAACTTGATGTGTTAATATAGCTATTTAGTCCATATTAAGAAACCTAGGTCATTTTATTTTCCATTGGGTGCTGATGCATATATTGAAAACGCCGGCCTCGGCATAGCTCGTTATTCAAATTTATTTGTAGCTAAAATCTTGCGGATACTCATATGTCCACCTGAGCCCATTTAATTTGTTTCAGATTGTATTTGCTTATCCAGTCGGTTCATTTTGATTAAAGACAAAGCCTCTTTAAGAGGATCGTGTGAAATGAGATGAGTAAGAAAAACGTGTCGGATCAGGAAGACTTGCCCTCCAATCTGAAAGAGCTACATGCGGGGCACGTACACATGGCCTTAACGATTTCCACACTTCTGCCGTTTTGAACGACGTCAGTAACCACGACATTCTGCGGTATGGCATGAAAACTGCACCATACGGCCTTAATTTATTCTATTGTGAGGGGTGCCAGTATTTTTTAATGTAGTTCAGTTATATTTTCATAGCATATGACTTCCTGTAACTTCAGTCTATTGGGCCAACTGTACATGTACACATGCATAGTCATTCTTTAGTTTTCACGTATCTCCATCTGCAGCTTGGGGTCAGAGTGGCCATGGGGAGTACCTGGAGATTCGGGGCTGGTCCAGCTGCTCTTCACACCCTTTTAAAGTCCCATAAATAAATGCTCGGGCTGGCTGATCTGTCGTGTGTGCACCCCACCTCCCCATGAGTACTGTTCGTGTCCTGCTCCCAGGAATAATGTTTAAATTACAAGGTAAAGACTGATTCTTATACATTAGGATTCGTTTTGAAAATCGATTCTATCACATCTAAAGAATCGATATTTCAGGGTTGATCTGCACATCACTACTTAACTGTAGTTGGCAAACTGGTGCTGAGAAAGCAAGGATAAGGCAAAAAATGCGCTGGAGGAAGATGCAGCAAAATTTATCAGAATTTGTTTGTTTAGAACAGGTGAGGAGAAGTTGTAATCCGTTAACATTAGAACACTGCCTTGGATCACGACTTAACAGGAGGAGCCAGCTAGCTAGTACATGTGATTGGCCCTACGGAATGTCATATTGCCTAAAATACACAGGGTTTCTAGCGTTATTAACATGCTATTCCCAACTGAAAAAAATAAAAAGAAAGTGGGATTAGCACTAGGTACACAACCCCGAATCTAACTGATGTATGGTCATGTCCATGGCTGCCGACAGGGGGCAATAAGGCCCCCTAACTTTTAAATAATCTGCTGGAGTAATTAGTCCAAAACACATATTTGTGACAACTTTTTATACAATTTGTGAATCACATAAAAGCTTGTTATTTTTTATCTGTGCAAAATTTCCTGTTACTAAATGTGTTTAGTTTTCATCCCTATAATGCAACAAATAGTTTGGTCAATCACACCATGGTACAGTAATAAGCCCCTCCCCCCTCCGGTCAATTGTCAAAATGGCAATTTGTCAAGTCAGGTGCTCAGAAAAGGAAAGAAAAACAAAAAAGAGAAAATGATAGAAGAGGGACTTTAAGGCCAGGTATTTCCCTTGTAAATCTGACGTGGCGATAACTAAATAAGTTTGTTATAAATTATCCAACAGACAACTTCAAGGCATTAAAGTTGGGAATGATAACGTCTCTAATATCATCTTACAGATCATCTTGTCCCTGGGTAAAAACAGAACACACTGATCCTGTCTACAGAGAAACACATTCTTATGTCTTTGGGCACTGATGGGTTCTTTAATATGGTAGCGGAAATAAGTGACTTGCTAAGGAGGGCACTCTTGCTTTAAGTCGGTATAATCTTTGTATGATATTCTTAAATTTCCAGATAGCACGATATACCAGAACTGATTGTCATTGTATTAAGTAGAGTACATTTTCATTTGATTTAGAAATTGTGTAATTGCACATAGTTGGGTACTGTTGCTGAAAGTGTCCGTTAACAGTTTGCTACCAATATGAATTTGTATCTTGAATAAGTTTGCAGCTGATTTATGGGTGTCTATGGGGAGAGGCACTATGGGGGACACCCCCTGGGCCAGTCTGTATCATGTCACTCCAAGCTGAAATACAGCCCCTGGACTGCAGCGTCAGTCATTTTTCCGGCACCCCTGAAGCGTTTTTGGGGTTTTGGGCCTTGTAAAGGACCCAGCAGTGATTACATTGCAAGCCACCACAGACCACTCCCAGCAAATATGTCATACTGCTTCCAGGCAAACAACTGACAATTTGCATGTTCCAGTTTCCTCATTAGCGCACAGCCGTTCAATGAGCTTCTTTCAGACTGTGGGGGGTCTTGGCTTCTTTCCAGTACAGACACCGCCAGCGTGAGACAGTCAGAGAAGCTGCTAATTACCTGCCAAATGCTGTCACCTTACTGACGCTTCCTGATCACAGAGGACAGGATGTAAACATTGATCTACGATAATTAGGAGAATTGAGACTGGCACTCTAATTTCTCATTTGGTTTTCTTTGTCCCCTCATAATTTCAAAACATCATTTCATTAAAAAAGCTGAAGATGTTAGGCCTCTGTGATCAGTAGGTTGTTGGTTCACGTCTCTGTTAGGCCCATGTGCAAGGTCCTTAAAGCAGCATTACAATGTACTTGTGCAAATGGCAAATAAAGCATCATTTCATTGCTCCTACATTCATTTTGAATTTAACCTGATGTGTGGGTAGTACACTACATCACAAGTGCCAGGATTTTGACATGGAGAGTATTAAAACCAGGGATCTTATACTGCATGAGCAGACTTTTCAGTAATCATTACTGGAGAATTTGGCTGTTTCTCAGTCACATGGGCTTACTTAGGAGACATTCTGGTCTGGGGTTTTCCAGGACTGACTTTGGGTTTTACTGAACAAAACTCTAACATTCACTTTCCACAGCCTTCTGTCTCAGCACCACATACTGCATGCATATTCTCTGTCACGGAGAAGGTAATAACAGCAGTCTATCATTCATTTTTATTCCCATCTGGAACATCTGAAATTCAAACTGAATGCCCCGCAGGTTCTAATGGTGCAGAAAATGGAATGACTACTTTGTGATCAGTCATTTTGTGTTTCACTCCTCTGTGAAAAGAATTGCCGACACACAGGCTACTGCTCTGAGGGAGGTCATTATTTCTGAAATGCAGAATGATTTTCATAAAGTTGCATTTGATGTAAAGTTTGGACACACCTGTTCATAAAGGATTTTTCTTTTATTTTTGATATTTATTTCTGAGAGTCTCAGCAGATCAGGAGCTGGAGCTGAGGCTGCTGACAGTGCATTTTCCTGGTAAGGAATTAGACACCTTTCATCGATGTTGAGTCTTGTTGCAGTGAGTGCCTCTCACCAACTTTCCTTTCCCTGCCTGGCGGAAAGACAGGGTGGGGGGGGGCTTACATTCCTCTGCCCCACCCCCCAAGGACCACTGTGACATCCTCCTGGATGCTATTGACGCCCAGCTTGCTAGTTCACAGGGTAGCTGGTTTTTGCCCTTATGACCCCATCTTCTGGGGGCATTTCCGGAATGTTCCGTAGCCCCAGCGCTTGAGGCTTGTGCGTCTGTCATTTGGTAAATTTCTCAAGCTCTCCTTCTGTGACCTGCTGCAACCCCCCCCCCCCCCCCACATGTTCCAGTCTCTGCCACAGCACGCCTCAGTCAGTCTGGGAGTCCAGAAGCTGGAGTGGACAGTGCTGAAGAGCCCATCACATCTCCCCACTTCGCTGAGCTGGGCCCCTCCCCAGGTGAGACATGAGCTTCAGCGAGGTTGTGATATTTACAGGGTGAGAGTGTTACTCAGCCTCTAGATCGTTAGGGCCAATCAAGCATGTAACCACTCAATTAATTACTCTAACTGATCCAACTACACCTTCCATGCCCCCATTTCCGCTAGACCCCAGGCAGAAATATTCAGCTTTTTACTGGGAATTTGTGTTTTCACCACAAACCACTTTACAGCAACATGCTTAATTAAAAATAGATGAAAACCTATAAGTGATCAGACAGACTTCTTAACCGAGTAGTACTTTTAGCTGAAGCTGAAATTTTTAGCTTTTTTGGGAGGGGTAGGGTGGTCCCTGGAATAAAATCTTTAGCTACACTGCTTAAAAGTTTTAGGAGAGAATAAGGGTGACAATAAGTATTAAAGTATTGGGTAAAGATGTGGGCAAAGTTTTCCTTATGGAAACTGACACTCAATGTTAGCGTGATGCTGACAGGAAACTGCCTGACAGTGATACTAGAACCTGTAAAGCAAGACACTGATTGACAGTGAAGGAAACTGCTGTATCTTTATAAACCATCGTGCCTTGCACCTTCATCCAGACAACTGTGTGTCTCCTGCAGAGTGGGAATTGGGAAACAGGAGTGCCATAATGGGAGAAGAGGACAAGGATGGGGCAGAGTCGAGGAAGGAGCAGTGCAGGTGGAGGCTAGAGAGGCTTCTTGGGAGCAATGGTGCAGGGTTCGAGGTGGAGACGCCTCGAGCCGCAGACAGCATCCGTACAGAGGACTTTGCCACCCTGTTCCAGCAGATGATGGTGAATCCCCTCACCCAACAGGATTTGGGTTACAGAGGAACCACAGGGAAGGAATGTCTGATGAACTACAAGGAACAAACATTAGGGGGCGACATGTTACAGGTGCTTTACAACCAGAGCAAGCATGTGGGCCCTTCTTACTCCCCCCTTACATTAATGGGGGATGATTCTCACCCCTCAGGAGGGATTCATCCAATCCGCACAGAAGTCTCCAAGATCCTCTCAGACAAGGTAGAGCGCCATCATCTGGCAGCTAATGCCAATGAACCCCCTCATGCTAAGGGGAATGATTGCATGACAAACCCCAAGTATCCGGCCCCGAAGTTCATATGTCTTGTGGAATCAGGAGAGCATGCTGGGGCCCTCAAAGACCATGACCAGAATAGTGAAATGGACATCACCTCTGAGAAGGACAGCCCTGGGACAACGTATAAAGTCTCAGCCTGCCATGGCTTGACCCCATTCTCAGATGTGACCTTTGACCTCTCGAACAACCACACTCATCGTTCCAAATCCCCTCTTAGAGGTGCAGACATTACCCAGTGCACCTTGCACAGGCACAGACTACTGGATGGAGTGAGTGAAGACACCAGGGACCCCTTACCAGTGGGAAGGTTGAGGTGTAACTCCTCCTCTTTTGTGAGCAACAGCGTGGTCTCTCCTGCAGTCACGAGTAAGACGGGTATGGTCCACAGAGGGGTATGGAGTGCCCTCTGGTGTTGAGAGAAGTGCATGCACCCTTGTACCCATCATCTCCACCACAAACAACAACCCTCTCTGTTTTTTTCTTCTGCCCCTGGGGTGTAGCTTTTGAACTTGGGCCCCCCCGGAGCTGCAGCAGAGTTGTGCGGACAGAGTCCCAGTGCCGTCTCAGTACCACAGGGGCCCAAGAGGAGCGAGGCCACGAGGGCCAAGGAGTTCCTTATGCAACCCCCCGAGTCCGGTGTCTGGCAGGTGCACACGCTATCTTATGTTATTTTACAAAGTTATCTTAACGTTGCGGCGTCGTGACAACGCAGTGACCACCTGGCAAGGAGATGATTGATCCTCCAAGAGGACTTTAATTAGGCAAACCGCATCTATTTGATGCTGCCATGGTTGATGAAATTACACTGACAGGTGACTTAGTCACAGATTTATGGAACCATATTGCCAAAAATAAACGTTTTTCTATTTAAAACCTTTTGTCTGCATCTTGGTGGACCTGAAATGGGGTGGCAAGTGGCTCAGCAGGTCGCCAGTGAACAGAAGGTCGCCAGTTCAAGCCCTTCCCTCAGCAGAACAGTCACATGTCCGTGGGTCCCTGAGTAAGGCAGTTAACCCCCTGCTCTAGGGGTGCTGCACATTAGCTGACCCTGCACTGTGCCCCCCACCCCCCCAAGCTGTGGAGATAGGGTCAACAAAGAGAAGCATTCCAATGTACCTGTACTTGTGCAAATGGCAAATAAAGCATGTTTCTTTGTTCCTCTGCCAGTAGTGATGCAAATAATGACATAAAAATGTTAAATATATTATAGTATACAATGTTTATAATGAATACTTTAACAAATGTTTAATCTGAATTTACGAGGATTTTAATTCGTAGTTTAATGGGTTTGAGATCTGTGCCTGTGTTTAGAAGGTTGTGGGTTTGAATCCCAGGCCAGTAGGGCAAGCATATCACTGAGGGGTCTTGAGCAAGACCTTTAACCTCAACTGCTCCGGGGCTGCTGGGTGAGGCAGGTAACACTTTACAATGAAACGATTGTCAAAGTGTCAACTTGACATAAGTGCAGCTAGGCTGAGCTTCCAATGAATGCCCAGTCAGAAGTGTAAGCGGTAGTGGAGCAGGGTACACAACAGCTACACAACATCTTGAAGTTGGAGAGGGACTCTGATGATTGAATGTGGTCTGACAGCTCATTATACATAAACCTTATTGTTCACTGCACTTTCTGTAGGGGTTCCAGTGCCCAGCTTTGACACAGTGACCATCGACAGTGACTTGGACTCAGTGCAAACCGACCAGGTCTGCGAGCACCTCCACAGTGCCCTCACCAGCAGTGCAGGTGCTGACCACAACCTCGACAGCTAATCATGGCACATCGGCCTTCCTGACTGCACATATTACCTGAAAAATTCTAGTTAAGATGATAGCAAAATGTTGTAATAAAACATATGATGTTTGCATGTTCCTGCTATGTTGTCGTGGGGTTTCCTCTAGGTACTCCAGTTTCCCCCCGCAGTGCAAAAACATGCTGAGGCTAATTGGAGTTACTGTACCAAATTGCCAGTCGGTGTGTGTGAATGGTGTGTGAGTGTGCCCTGAGATGGGTAGGCAGCCCATCCTGGGTTGTTCCCTGCCCTGTGCCCATAGCCTCCGGGATAGGGTCTGGACCCCCACAATCCTAAATGGGATAAGCAGTTCCAGATGGATGGATGGATGTTGCATGATTTTGTTTGTGTGATCAGTGGTCTGTCTGCCCCTGAAACCACACCCACTGTCCCCATGCACTTTACAGCCTGGTGCATCCGGGTAGGTGAGCTGAGCTGTGACCAGAGTCACCTGGACTCGTACATCCTGGGTCAAAGGCCCAGACCTGGTGAGTATCCCAACTGGCACGGGTTAGTTAAACAGTACAGGTATCCCGGATGCAGAGCAGTCAGAAATAACCAGGGAGGCCACAGAGGATCAGATGAGTGGGGCAGATGGTGTGCTGGATTTTATTCATTCACACTATTTCAGGTAAGTGGGTGCGTGCTCTGTACTGCAGCAATGTCTAACCTCGTTTCCTGTTGTGTTCCTACATGCCACCAGGGGGAGTGCCCGAGTCCAGTGGGGAGGTTTCATGCAGAACCCGGCTGACCCGAAAGTCCCATCCCACCAGAAGGGGGTCCCTCAGGTCGGAATGAGAGCATCTGTCACAGACAGTCGCTTTGCCTCGCTGTCTCGTGGTGCGATTTCGGAGGGAATAGCCGTGCCTGTCAGTGTAGTTTACATCCCCAGTGATGGTGATGGAAATAGCTGAAGACAGCAGACACAATGAATGAGTAATGAATTATAAATTGTAATATCATTACTTTGCCTGTCCATCACTGGCTGGTTTCTATCTTAGGACTCGGGGTATATCTGCCTGCATCCCGCTGTCAGGCGACAATGAGGACAGTGTTAACATAGGCACAGAGGAGGGGGGCCACAGCACCTGGCATGTCTCCCCGGAACAGAGCTCTGGGGAACCGGGGACACAGAGCTGCGTCCCCTTAAGACGACAGGCCAAACAGGACGTGGGGGAGCATTTCTCCAGGGTAAAAGTACACAGTTCATTCTTAAATATTCTTATTTACACAGTCACAGTGTCATTTTAGTGAATAAATGCATGGGGAATCTTTTCATATGAAGGGAAATTGGGTTTTGAAAGACTGTATAAAATAAGCAATCCAAGAGACACTGAGTTTCAGTAACTGTCACCTCGTCTCTCTAAGGTGGCTGATGGATGGCTGGAGGGAGCTGGATTGGACAGTTTGCCACTAGAGGGGGACCTTTGTGCTCTTAGAAGGGTAAGTCCCACTGTATCAGGACTTAGGTACAGTCAGAATGTGCGCCTGTATCAGTGTTCTCCAGTAGAGGGTGCCGTTCACTGATTGCTGTTTTGTGCTGCTTAAGGACTGTTCTAGAGTGGAGGAAAGGTTGGAACAGAAGAGAGCCCAGCTACGTGAAACAGAGCTGTCCCTCAGTGTCCTGCTGAAGAAGAAAGAGGTAAGGAACAACAGACACACAAGCACACACACACACAGGTTTGTATTCATATCTTTTTTGGGGACCTTCCATTAATTTCCATGGGCAGAACCCTAGTCCCAACTACACCTACCTTAACCCCTACCCAGCGCTATCCTTAACCGTAAGTAACCAATTTTATTTTAGATCAGGGGAGGGCAATCTTATCCGCAAAGGGCCAGTGTGTATGCAGGTTTTTTGGGGTTGGTGGCAGGATTGGCACTCCAGCTGCCGGAAAAAAACTTCCATTTGGGCTAGTGTGGTGCTGAGGTATCACCTGTCACATGGCTGCACTCAGGTTCTCATCCCTGAGGTGGTGTGGCAGGTGTGGCAATGCACTGTACTCTGTGCATGCGCCTTACTGCTCACTGTATCACATTGTGGGAAAATCTGGTCCTACAATATAATAATTACAATAACAAACACACGATTTGTCTATTTCACTTTCGATCAAAGGATCTGCCAAACTGAAATAATTAATATAACAATATTTCCCCAATGACTTGTGACAAAACAGTAAGACAGTATTCCTCATAGGAGTGTTTTGTATCATTTATACCATGAACAGTGAACAGAGCTCTAGAAACATTTTTTTTAAGATTGTAAATTGGCTTAATAACCAAGGAGTTTCCATCATTCCTCACATGTGCCTTCCTCTCCAATCACTGTCGTCTCCCAGCATGCACTGCAGGAGCTCCGGTGTGTGCAGGCAGCAGTGGAGCAGGCAGAGAGGGAGGCATGGGACCTGGAGGCCAGCCTGAGTGAGAGGAGGAGGCAGGCAGAGGTCGCCAGGTACCATCCCGTGGCTCCACGGTGGTCACATGGACTGAAGCTCTTAGTGCCAGTGACGTGACCGTGTGCGGGTGCCAGCAGGTGGCAGCGGTGCTCCCCGCAGCTCCAGACGGGCTGTGTGCAGGAGAGCCCTGGCTGGGAGGAGGAGCTGCCTGCTGTGGAGAAGATGCAGGTGGGGAGGAATCCTTCTGTCTACTCGCTCAGGATGGCAGATTTGTACCTGTAGTAATTTGGCTGAACCACAATGCAGCAATAGGTTATCAAGTAAACTTACACAGCTAAAAGCCAGTCAGTAGCCAGGAACCAGTCACACTGTGGTGCACTGGGCCTTTGTATATGCCAGACTATCAGTCTGGGCTGGCTGGGCATCATCACTGAAAGGTCATTATTATTATCGCTGCATTTATCCATCATCAACACTCTAGGGGTAGATAATTTGATCTGAGATCCATATTTTATAAACCAGATTTAAGTGCAGGTTGTGTAGCTTCTGACTGCTACTTGCTACCCCTAACCTGAATAATGAATTCCTCTAATGGTCTATTGCTTCTCCCCGTCAGGCTGTTGCGTCCAGTGCTCTGGAGAGGGAGGAGGCCGAGCGGCAGCTGCACAGAGCCAAGGCAGAGCTGTTTGCCACACAGCGCCGGGCCAGAGACCAAGTGGAGGCACTGCAGGAGGTGACGGGGCCCCAGCGTTACAGGCGGGCCGTGGGGTTAACACACAGCGGCCTTTATCTGTTATTTACTTACTGTATGTCAGCTGCTGATTTTACACATTCTAGGGACTTTGCCTCCGTTACACACTTTTTCCTAACTGCCGTGTCCCTCTGTTTAAAGAATTTTGTCTGACCCCCAAACTCTCCCCCAGATACCTTTTGCTCATGGAGGCCCTCTGTTCATTGTAATGTGTGTGTGTGTGTGTGTGTGTGTGTATGTGTGCAGTCATGTACAGTGCCCTTCACAATCATTGGCACCTCTTGTACAGATTTGTAAAAAGGGTTAGAAAAAAAACACCTTTCAGTGAAGTATTTTCATATTACGCTCAAAAAATTACTAACATCTAACCTTTCATTAAAATAAACTTATTGAAAGAAAAACAAATTCCTCATCATAATTATATTCAACAAAAACACCTGTGCCACGATTATTGGCACCCCTGGATTTAATACTTTGTACAACATCCCTTTGCCTGTATAACAGCACTGAGTCTTCTCGTATAGCATTTTATAAGGTTAGAGCGCAAACAGTGTGAAGAGCAGAGCATCTGAGACCATTCCTCGTTACATAATCTTTCCACATCATCCAGGGTTCTAGGCCCTCTCTTGTGCCCTCTCCTCTTCAGCTCAGCCCACAGGTTTTCAGTGGGGTTCAGATCAGGGGACCGAGATGACCATGGCAGAAGCTTGATTCTATGGTCAGCTAACTATTTTTTTGTTGAGTTGGACATGTGCTTAGGATCATGGTTGTGCTGGAAGATCCAGTGACAGCCCAGTCATAGTTTCTTGACAGAGACAGCCAAATTTTGATTTAAAATGTCCTGGTATTTCATGGAGTCCATAATGCCATGTACCCTAACGAGGTTTCCAGGGCCTTTGGAGGAAAAACAGCCTCAGAACATCACAGAACCTCCACCATACTTTACAGTTGGGATAAGGTTCCTTTCATTATAGTCATCCTTCTTTTTACACCAAACCCACCTTGAATGTCCAAAAAGCTCCATTTTTGTTTCATCAGACCATTGAATTTGGTTCCAGTTAAAATTGTAGTAGTGTTTCACAAACTCCAGGCGCTTATGTTTATGGTTAACTGACAGAAAAGACTTCTTTCTGGCATAATTTCCAAATAATCTGTTAGCATGAAAGTGGCGTCAGATGTTTTTTTCTGAGACTTGGTAACCCCAAGATTTTACTTTGTCTTGTAATTCACCAACCATGATCCTTGGGGATTTTTTTTGCTTCTCTTATGATCCTCCTCATTGTACATGGGGGAAAAATAAACCTTGGTCCTCATCCAGGTGGGTTTGTAACAGTTCCAGTTGTTGTCCACTTTTTTATTATTGCCCTAGCAGTAGAAATGGGCATTTTCAGGCGAGTAGCTATTTTTTAATATCCATTTCCAGATTTATGAAGGTCAGCATACTTCTCATTTGATCTGTGTGTTCTCTTATCTTTCACATGTTGATGGATGACTAAGGGAATTTGGGCTCTGTGTCACCGCATGTTAGTACCCCAGTTAATCAGGAAGTCATGGATTACAGCTTGAATGTTTCTGCACACTCCAATCAACTCAAAGATGTACAATTAACATGGGAAACATGTTTCAGTTACATTGTGTTCACCATAATTTCGTGGCATAAGTAATTAATTATTATTTCTTGATGAAGGATTTTTTTTCTTTGAATAAATTTATTTCAATGAAAGGTTGGATTTTTCTCATTTATTCATTCAGTGTGAGATGAAGCTACTTAAGTAAAAGGTGCATTTTTTCTAACCCTTTTTACAAATCTTTACAGGGGTGCCAATAATCGTGGAAGACACTGCATATATTATATTGTGGGGACTAAATGTGATTAAAAAAAAAAAAATCTGTTATTGTGATGTTGCAGGGACTTTTTGGTCCCCACAAGGGGAAACTCATAAAATTCTGGTTTGCAACTTAATTTTTTAGAAGTCAAGCTTCAGTTCAGTATTCGGTGTGTAATAGATTTAAAACATATGACGCAGCATGAGATTCCATCAAAATATTAACTGGTCTATATTCTAATGTAAGGAGAAGTGGAGGCCCCAAGCGAGCTCGATGGGCCGAATGGCCTCCTCTCGTTTGTATAGTTCTTATGTTCTTATGAGAACTTAAAGATATGTATTCCAACATGTATTTATCACTTTTTAAATTGGCAGAGAACAATCAAACATATTTAAACAATAATCACAAAAACAATAGCAATCCTGCAGCTAAGGCTGCCTGGACCCCTAATAATAGGACCTTTCTGTAAACAATCTCTGACCATGAAATAGGTAGGTAGTTCACTTATAGCTAAACAGCGCAATCAATATTTTTTCGCACCGCAAATGTAACTTTTATTTGGGTTTCACATTTGTTGTTCGTGGGCGTATATGCAGTCACCTTGAGCCATTTCTGATTGGTGAACATGACTGGCATATGAAAAGCACAGCACTTCTGATTGGTGAGAATGACTGTCACAAAAGGCAGATGGCATGAATTTGTAAAATTATTCTGATGACAGTCTTAAACCCTGGGTCAGACGTCCTGTATAATGCATATCCTAAATTGCCAAATTGTGTGGTTTCAAATCGCAATTTCGATTTAAAATTATTAAATCGTTCAGCCTTAGTAGGGGTAAAGGTTGTCACTGTAGGGATTAGGATTTTTCACATTGAAATGAATGGAGAATCCCCACAAAGATATGAATACAAATGTGTGTGTGTGTGTGTGTGCCATATATAGTCACAGTCTTGTGTGTCTGTGCATGGTAGCGCTTGGAGGAGCTGCAGCAGGAGTTGGACCTGCATGTGGAAAGCGAGCAGGCCCTTAGGGAGAGATGCTCCTGTTTGGAGGAGCAGCTGCGAGGCACATCGACACAGCAAGAGGGGCAGGAGAACCAACCGGTATGCATTTCGCCTTCAAACCCACAGCTGCCCCAGCTCACAGGGCTCTCTGCAGACCTTCAGCTCTAGGCATCATCTTCACACTGTTTGTGCTCTCATCTAAATTGTCTTTCCCACAGGTACCTGGCAGTTCAGAGCAGACCCTGGAAGCTCGGCTGCAGGGGCTGCAATTGGCACTGGAGGAGAAGGCTGGCTGGGCAGAGGCGTTGGAGTGTGTCGTGACCCAGAAGGAGCTGCAGTTGATGGGGGCAAAGGCTGAGATCCGGACCATGAGGGAGGAGCAGTCCGCCAAGCTGAGGGAGATGCGGGAGCAGGCGCAAAGGGAAAAGGTCAGGGGCCAGGGGCCAGGAGTCAGTGAATCTGCCAGTGATGTAATGCAGAGTGTGTTGGGTGTCTGGTACCTTGGTAAAAACATGTGAAAGTAACTTGTTCAATTGTCACTGTGTGTGTGCATGTGTGACGGCAATGCGGGTAGATGTGACACATGGATCGGTGACAAATAAGGGTTGGCAAGATGAGCAATTCAAAAATCTTTTAAAAACTTGTTTTAAAAGTATGTATCGGATTTGTTAAAATGTACATTTTGTATTCATGTTGGTTTCATGTCATTTGAAATGAATTTGCTCCATTTTTTATAAAAGGTAAGACTGAACATATCAAATGGTGTAACCACAAAAGAATGAGAAATTTTAAATATTTTAGCGACCCTAAGTGTATGTAAGTATACTCATAAAAATAATTACTTCATTTTAAAAGTAAAATCACAAAAACAGATTTTATTAGGATTATCTCTAAATTTAAATTTTATTCATTTTTGCAATATTGAACAGAGCATATGATGAAAACAGCTCTGTTTTCTAAATAATCTTTGACAAATTCTGTGAAAATTGTTACCAAAAAATGTTATACTGCAGTAGAGAATTACATTTGATTCCACATTAATTCTCCTATACGTTATCCTAATTTTATGAAAAATACAAGTTATGCCGTCCTGAAAGCCAGTTTTGTCAGCAGGGGATTGGACCACCATGGCCTCCCTTGGCCACCACCCGATCCAACATGCACCGAACCCCTGACATTCCCCTTGCGGGTGGTGGGCCCACCTGGGGACAGTCCCGTCTGCTTCTTTCGGGCTATGCCTGGCCGGGCCCCACGGGCCAAGGCCCGGCCACCAGGCGCTCGCCAACGGGCCCCTCCCCCAGACCTGGCTCCAGGGTGGGGCCCCGGTGACCCTAGTCCGGGCGAGGGAAACGAGACCTTGCTAGAATACATTATCATAGGGTTCTTTTGGATTGCTCTTTGTCTGGCCCCTCCCCTGGGACCTTTTTGCCTTGAGAGACCCTACCAGGGGCTATTGCCCCCGACAACATAGCCCCCAGGGTCACTGAGGCACGCAAACCCCTCCACCACGATAAGGTGGCAATCCAAGGAGAGGGAAATGGCTGCCCTTTGTCATCGGTCCTGTTTATAATATTTATGGACAGGATTTCTAGGCACAGCCAGGGTCTTGAGGGTGTCCAGTTTGGTGGCCTCAGGATTGCCTCGCTGGTTTTTGCGGACGATGTCGTCCTGTTTGCTTCATCTGCTGGGGATCTCCAGTGTGCTCTGGGGCGGTTCGCAGCCGAGTGCGAAGCGGTGGGGATGAGGATTAGCACCTCCAAGTCCGAGACCATGGTTCTCAGCCGGAAATGGGTGGATTGCCCTCAACAGGTCAGGGAAGGGGTACTGCCTCAAGTGGAGGAGATCAAGTATCTCGGGGTCTTGTTCATGAGTGAGGGTAGGTGAGATCGGGAGCTGGACAGACGAATCGGAGCTTGTCCAGGGTTTGGGTCGCGGGGGTAGCAGCTTCAGGAGAGATACCTAGACCTCCCTCTCCCCAGCTACCTCTACCAGCTCCTTGGGGGCTCCTCTCCCTTGGACTTGCCCGAAGCACCTCCCCAGGAAGCTGTCCAGGAGGCATCCTAGATAGATGCCCAAACCACCTCAACTGACTCCTTTCAATGTGGAAGAACAGCAGCTCTACTTTGAGCCCCACCTGAATGTCTGAGCTCCTCACCCTTTCTCTAAGGCTGAGCCCAGACACCTTGTGAAGGAAACTCATTTCTGCCGCTTGTATCTGCGATCTCATCTTCGGTCACTACCCAAAGCTTGTTACCATTGGTGAGGGTAGGAATGTAGATTAACTGGTAAATCAAAAACTTTGGCTTCTGACTCTGCTCCCTCTTTACTACAATAGAACAGTACAGCATCCAAATTCCTGCCAACACTGCACTGATCCGCCTGTCAGTCTCCTGCTCCCTTCATCCCTTGTATTAATTATGAAATAGCAGAAATTTCATGTAAAAGTATATTTTACAGATGCATTTTTCTATCTTTCAATACCATTTATCCTATCTGAATTATTGGGGTTTTAGATCTTTAAAGCTGCTGTTCATGTTCAACGGTCACTCTTCACCCACCTGATTCTGCTACATTATGAAATTACGTACATATATCACATTATATGTTACTTAAATTTGTAAGTAAATGGAATACAAATATACATTGAAGATCAACATTTCCAAAACACCAGGGTTGTGCAACGTGATTTATCATGTCCTTACAGAGCTTTGATTAAAAAGTTGCAGATAAATCACCACTTTTTCCAAAAATATAGCACTGAACACCTCAAAATAGTTCCACATGGTAAGTATACACTCACCTAAAGGATTATTAGGAACACCTGTTCAGTTTCTCATTAATGCAATTATCTAATCAACCAATCACATGGCAGTTGCTTCAATGCATTTAGGGGTGTGGTCCTGGTCAAGACAATCTCCTGAACTCCAAACTGAATGTCAGAATGGGAAAGAAAGGTGATTTAAGCAATTTTGAGCATGGCATGGTTGTTGGTGCCAGACGGGCTGGTCTGAGTATTTCACAATCTGCTCAGTTACTGGGATTTTCACGCACAACCATTTCTAGGGTTTACAAAGAATGGTGTGCAAAGGGAAAAACATCCAGTATGCGGCAGTCCTGTGGGCGAAAATGCCTTGTTGATGCTAGAGGTCAGAGGAGAATGGGCCGCCTGATTCAAGCTGATAGAAGAGCAACTTTGACTGAAATAACCACTCGTTACAACCGAGGTATGCAGCAAAGCATTTGTGAAGCCACAACACGCACAACCTTGAGGCGGATGGGTTACAACAGCAGAAGACCCCACCGGGTACCACTCATCTCCACTACAAATAGGAAAAAGAGGCTACAATTAGCACGAGCTCACCAAAATTGGACAGTTGAAGACTGGAAAAATGTTGCCTGGTCTGATGAGTCTCGATTTCTGTTGAGACATTCAAATGGTAGAGTCAGAATTTGGCGTAAACAGAATGAGAACATGGATCCATCATGCCTTGTTACCACTGTGTAGGCTGGTGGTGGTGGTGTAATGGTGTGGGGGATGTTTTCTTGGCACACTTTAGGCCCCTTAGTGCCAATTGGGCATCGTTTAAATGCCACGGCCTACCTGAGCATTGTTTCTGACCATGTCCATCCCTTTATGACCACCATGTACCCATCCTCTGATGGCTACTTCCAGCAGGATAATGCACCATGTCACAAAGCTCGAATCATTTCAAATTGGTTTCTTGAACATGACAATGAGTTCACTATACTAAAATGGCCCCCACAGTCACCAGATCTCAACCCAATAGAGCATCTTTGGGATGTGGTGGAACGGGAGCTTCGTGCCCTGGATGTGCATCCCACAAATCACCATCAACTGCAAGATGCTATCCTATCAATATGGGCCAACATTTCTAAAGAATGCTTTCAGCACCTTCTTCAATCAATGCCACGTAGAATTAAGGCAGTTCTGAAGTCGAAAGGGGGTCAAACACCATATTAGTATGGTGTTCCTAATAATCCTTTAGGTGAGTGTATATTACATTTAATCAGCATAATAAGCTACTAATATTTGCCAAAGTTGTAGATTAGAGTGGCCTTTAATAGGAGTCAAATGGTGTAACTAGTTACACCATTTGACAATTTAATCTAAATTCAGTTTTAACACACATTATCATTTACACCAATGTAACCACATGGCCTTAGTGTGAATATTTCAGACATATTTTTTAAAGTAAATTCTCATTTTTATAATTATGATGAATTGTCAGTGTTTTCCTGGGGTCATAACATTTGACATATAAGCCTAAGCAGACCTGACCATACCCTAAAAATCTCAAATTATCTGATATTTTAAAAAGAGTTACTAACCTTGACATGCAGCACTTAGGGTCACCAGGGGTCCTTCCCTGTGATATTATTTCCTGTCACAGTATTTTCTTGCATCGTATGAACAAAACAGCTTCTTGAATGGCAGTTACACCACCTTGACACTTGATTACCCAAATTAATTATATTCAGAACAATGGGGTTCTGCTACTTTTATTCCCTATTAAATAGTTCTAATGTAAGATTATGCTAAACTAATTGAAAGGGTGTGTTATTGAGAATTTCAGCTTTTGAAATTCTTGCCATCGTCTATCAAGTATTCTCTCAAGATTGATTAAAACCTGAAATTTTAGACTAGGCCCTCAAGAAAGTATATATGCAAATAATTTTGAAGTTCATTTTCAAATTTTATCATTTTTAAATTTAACTAAAATGGATAAAAAAAAAATGAGTATCACATCATTGACCCATACGCATGTGTTGGCGAGGGCTGTACATGTGACGGTACTGACTATGACGGCGATGACTGTACATGTGATATTGCCCATGGTGACGGTGATGAATGTACATTTAAAGGTGCCCACTATGATGCCAATGACTGTGCATTTGTCTTTAGGAGCAGAAGTTGGAGCTGCTGAAATCGGAGCAGGCTTCTATCAGGGAACAGGAAATTCAGCAGGTAAGGCTTAGGCTTCCTTGAATCTCACCCCTGTAAAACATCCAAAGGGAATTTCCTTAAAAGATTTGTTTATCTCAGTGTTCCTGGATCTATTTCTCATCTCAAAATTTATTTTTTCTTACATCATAACTAAAAGTAAATGTTCACGTAAACTGTCATAAGAAATGGTCAAGTAGTCATCCTATAAAGTTTTTACCATATTTCTTTGTAGCAGTAAATGATCTGAGCTGCACTGCTCTCATAAATGTTTACAAGCTGTTATGTTTATGATGTTATGAGCCATTATGTTTATGATGTTATGAGCTGTTATGTTTATGATGTTATGAGCTGTTATGTTTATGATGCTATGAGGTGTATTTCTAGGAAGGTCGCATTGTACGGCTCCTCATAGCTCATGCCCTGCTCTGTGTGCAGGCCCAGCGTCAGGCCGAGGAGGCACAGCTGAAGACCCTGAGGGAACAGGCTCTCACTCACCACCAGCACATGGAGGCCACACACGGCTGCATGCAGGTCAGCTGCTCGGGCAGCTGACCTAAAATGATGCTAAGAAGAGAGACCTGGAGAGAAACAAAAAATGATCAGGAGGACCGAAATTGTGAAACCTTTATTTAAATGAGGAAATGGGCATGGTGTATAGCTCAGCAGATTAGACCACTGGGCTGGTTCATATCCCTTCGTCGGCAGAATGATGTCACTGTTGGACCCTTGAGTAGGGCCCTTAACCCCAGTCGCTTCGGGGATTGGCTGGCCCTGCTTTCTCAATGTCACTTTGGATAAAAGTGTCTGCTAAATAAGTTAAACGTCAATGGGCTTTGAGTGACATTATCTATAGTATATTTGATAGCGTGACACTGCAGGTTATAAACCAGCCAATGCCAAAGGTTTAGAGCATTATCTGCTGCTATATAGCTGGCTATACCACCACTCATTGAAACTCACTGACCTCTGAGCATGAATGGATGGTGTTGTGGCTGAGAGGAGGTCAATCTGACCCCAAGTCGTTTCATGAGGTCCTGGTCCTATGTCATTCTAGCTGAAAGATGAGGAGCTGAAGAAGCTGGTAGCAGCCCAGGAGCAGCGGGTGGAGGAGCTGCAGATGGAGGCTCGGGAAATGGTAACCAGTGAGCAGACACTGGGAACAAGGAAGGTTCATACCAGCAAATGGCTGTTAGTCCACTATTAGTGGGCATACTTACACTCACACACATAGTAACAAGACTGACTCAGCAGTGGGATATTTACAGATACCAGGTAACCTTCTGAGTACGTGGAGCTATTCACTGACCGGCTACAAAACATTTATCACATAGGCCAAGGTGGGTATGTAGTGTATAACCCCCCGTCCCTTATTGCCCCAAGCTTCAGCAAGCCATAGAACAGGAGCAGAAGAAGTGGGAGACAGAAAAGGAGGAGATCCAAAGGCAGCATGACTTAGAGAAGGAGCAGGGCCAGCAGGCGGTGGAGAGAGCAAAAGAGGAGGCCGAGAGAGAGCAGAGGAATGTCCTGAGTCAGCAGAAGCAGATCATGCAGCTGCAGCGCGTGAGTTCAGATGGGGACAGGGAGTGGGCTATCATCACACACCATGGGCTGTCATGGTGATGCTACCATGGTAACCGGCTCCTAACCCGCTGCACTCCCACCACTCCAGCGTGAATCTGCTTTTGTTCCTCTGCCCCTGTTCTTACCTCTGCCTTTCGCTCATTAAGGTTAATCTTCTGTATCTGTAGTTTCTCTATGAACTCCCTTGCTGCTCCCTTGATCCTGCAGTTTCTATGCCTTCTTGCAGACATGCTCCTTTTTTTCCCTGAAATCCTTTCTCTATTGACTTTTAAACATTTTGCAGAGCGAAGCAAACTTCTTTTCCCCAGGACATTAGCTAATCACTGTTTCAGGGGTATATTTGGGTGTATCTTTGGCAGGATATAAAGGAGCTTGAGGCTGAGGGGTGGCGGCTGCGGCGGGAGCAGGCATCTGCGCTGACCGAATTGCGCAGGACTTTCATGGAAGAGCAGCAGGCAGAGCTGCAGAGGCTGTCCAGACATGCAGAAAAGGTCAGAGAGAGTGACAAGAAGACGGACTGCTGCAGTCAGTCACATTCAGGATCACCTCTGTTTGTATATAATTGTATTATGATGTAACATATGGGCAGGTGCATATGGCTTTAATGCCTTATGATCACTAAAGCCCAGTTGGATAAGCAGTTAATGAATGAATGAACAGAGGGTGACCGCCATCTGGTGGTATGCATTGATATTGCAGTGATTTGAATGCCATAACACTATAGGCCAGGGTTCCCATCGTGGAGGGCCAGTCTGCAACACAGTTTGCAGGTTTCCCTGCTTAAATGTTAATCAGCTAATTACCAGGTTTAGTAAGTGTGTTTGAGCAGGGAAATCTACAAACTGTGTTGCAGACTAGCCCTCCAGGACTGGAATTGTGGAACCCTATTATAGGCATTTGTTGATTGAACCTGACTGCAAATTACTCATCTCAGGAGCGACACAAGGAGGTGCGCCAGCTCCAGAAGGCTCTGGATCGGGCCAAAGTAGATGCCAGTGGCCTGCAGGGGGTGCTGTTAGAGTGTAAACAGACTCAAGAGGAGGATGCAGCCAAGGTGGAACAGCAGCACAAGGAATGGGCTCTGGCACTTGGGGTGGAATGTCAGCGCCTGCAGGAGGTTTTTGGGCCTGCGGAGGGTGCTGTAAACCTCCAGAGCAGGTAATCCTGGAGATGCTATCATTCAGACACAAATGAACTCGGTTACTATAGTCTTCAACTATCTTATTAGCTAATTAGGAATTATGAAAACTATGTATAATGTGTTTTATGATACAACATTGCTGTAATTCTTTATGCCCAAAACTGCATGATTAGCATACATATGCTAGCAGCCAGTTACAAAATCAGCCTAGAACCTTTTGATTGAGGAAAGTGTGGAGAGTGGACAGCATGCAGTGCGTGCTGTGCTGAGGGGAGCTCTGCTCAGTCCTACAGTGGCCCAGGCAGTGCAAACAGTGCAGGCACTGGGCGATCAGCTCCGTGCACACATCTCCCATCTGCGACAGGAGCTGGACTCGCAGAGAGAGGCCACACAGCGCCTGATGCAAGATAAGGTACAGCTCTGTTCATGTCCTCGTAACCGGTCCGATGTAAATGCACCTTAAGGTCAGATTTCCCATTTTGTAATCATGTAACGTTTCCTAATGTTGATGGCTGTTTCTGTGTCTGTGTGTGTTTGTGTGTCTTCTGGCTCAGGAGCGTGAGCTGCAGAGACAAAGGGACCTGCTTGCAGTGGAGAAGGAGCAGACTTTGACCTCACTAAGGCAGCATCTGATTCAGGTATTCGTGCCCTATGGCTGCATAAAGAACTTCTGCACTGTTTACTGACCACTGTGGCAACCTGGAGGCCATGAACATCTGACCTGTTGGTCTTTAGCTTGATGAAGGTGGAGAGGCTAATGTGGTTGCCATGGTGATTCATGCAGGAGCACATGGAAGAGCTCAGCAGTCTGAAGCGAAATTGGCTACGCAACAGCAGCCATGGGGAAGCGGGTGGTCTGATCACATCGCTACGGCGACAGCTGCAGGATAAAGATGAGGAGCTGCGGGAGGTGCAGAGGAACATGGGACACTGGAAGGAGCAGACCACGGCTCGGCTGGCGCGCAAGTTTGAGGAAGAGATGATGGCCGAGCTGGAAAGGTGAGGAAAGGCAGAGGCCTTTCAGCAGCCCAGTTAGAAGGGAGACCCAGGAAATCAGGGCCAGGACCAGCAGACTGGCCCCGAAGAACAGTGAGAAGAGGCAACCTAGTCAAATAGATCAAAGTTTAGGTAAAAGCATAATGAGATCCAGCATGAATCCGCACCTGTAAATAAGGTCAATGTGGAAGGAAGAACTCCTAGGTCACATAAACCAGTGCTCAGAGACATTTTTATTAATGAGTAACAGATCCTAAGAATCTATGTCTGTAGAGCACAGCTTACATATGTGAAACACATGATTAACCATAAATTTAAAATTATGACTAATATAGGTTAGACTGGGATAGTCCTGTTGCCTCACACCTCCAGGACTGGGGGCTTGAATTGTTCCTCTGCTGTATGTGTGAAGTTTGCTGTTTCTTCTCGTTATGCGATTTTCCTTCAGGCAGTTTGGTGTCCTCCTGCAGTCCAAAGATGCGTGATTGTGCTCATTGGTGTCTCTTATTGCCTGTAGTGTATGATATGTGTCTGTGACCCATCATGGACTGGCATCCCGCCCTGTGCTGCCTGGGCCAGGGCAAATTGGTCCAACATGTGCAATTTGTTTGAATACATTAACTTTTTCCCTTATACCTTAACTATATGATTCTTACTAAATTATTTGCAGTACTACACAGTTGTTGTATACAATGTATGTGGGAATGTATTTATATGAGGACTTCTAGTGTTAATGTAGAATTCATGTCAATTTTAACTTACGTTTATTGTTTAATTTATAAAATTTAACAAACGTCATGGACAGGAGATTAATGCATATAAATGTATAGAAAGGTTGTACTGTGATATTTGTTTCACATGTAGAATTTACTTCCTCTAGATGCAAAATGGAGTTGCTAAAGGAGAGGTAATGAGTCTCATCACTGGGGTGCCAACTGGAGTTGTGGCGTAGAGGGGTAGAGGTAGTGGGATCTAGCTCCAGTCCATATTGAAATAGTTGAATATATAATACTTATTACTGCTTTATTATATTGGAGTTTCATGAAGCAGAGGTTTCCACACATCTCCTTGGGGGACCCTCAGCTGTTCCTTTATCTGGTTTCCTCAACCAAACCTCACTGCTAAACTGATCAAGTGAGCAGCCAATTGGCTGAATGGGGTCTGCAAGTAAAACAAAGCAGAAATGTGGATTGACGGGGGCTCCCTGACAAGATGGCAACCCCTGCCGTAGAGCATCCTAGATCCTAGAGTGTCCTGTGGTTTGTCTGTGGCAACATGCATTGTCCTCCAGGATTGTTGACGCTGCATTTTTGTTCTAGGAGAGTCCCAAGGACAAACATGGATAAGTACACTCAGCTACAGCGATGGGATGATGAGATGGTAAACATCTAGCTGAAATGCATATGTGCTCTGTTCTGATATCTTTGAGTGAACTGCACCTACTAGAAGAATGGGCCTGATAATGACAAATGAAAATACTACATTGTTTTGGTATTCAGATTAATCCTGTTTACTGTGAAGGGTTATGAAAAAAAAAATACACACCAAACCCTTACAGTGTAATTCTGACACCATACTGTGTTCTGTGTTCCTTGTCTCCGGCCCCATTGGAGCAGAAGGGGCCTGCAGGCCTGCTCTCTGCTTCATCGCCATCCCTCCTCTTCAGCGATCCCTGTAGCGTGCCTATAGCCCCAGGCCTGGGTTCCCTGAAGCTGCTGAAGCACCTGCGAGTGCGAGTCAGGCAGCTCCGCTCCGAGAGCTGGGCTCACACCAGTACCCCTGTACAGCGGGCCACAGCGGGAGACCTGGCGGGCTCCTACCTGGAGACGGTGTGCACCCTCCGATTGACTACAGCCATCGCTGCCCCTCTTAGCGCTGTGGTTTCCCCTGACTCTGATTTGCAATTATAATCCACCTGTTATGTTGAAAATGAACCTAGTTTAGTCATGAAATCATATATAGGTAACATCCAGAATAAGGAAACCCTCCAAAATGACTGAGCACTAGGCCATCATAATAGCTTCCATGCACTTGGGCAAAAAGCAAGCAAATTCTTTGAGGAACGAGGTTTCATTATTCAAGATTTAGTTATTTCTCCTGGCATTCATAGACAAAATAACCGGCTTCAGTTTGTACACATCTAACCAACCAGCTTATTTAGTGCTTCTTGTGATATGTCAACACTAATACTTGTGTTTGGTGCCAGCAGATTTCCCCAGCACTGGAGAGGAACCGATCCCACACTAGGATGCTCCAGAGTTGATACAGACTCCTCCAACCACAAGTGGGCCTAGATAAACACAGACAAATTGAGGATCCTCATCAGATTACGCTTCATAGCCCTAACCCTCCATGCATGAAGTTCTTCACCTTTCAGTGCATGCTGCTCTGAAGGCTGCAGTTAGGTAGGGTTAGGTAACTGTTCTTTTACAAATGAATCTGGATCACAACACTCTACATACACCATAAATGCATTCAGTTTTGCAGCAATCAATCACAGTGTCATGCAGGAAGTTAGAGTGCTTATCTGTTTAATTGGTAACAGTTTTGTCATACAGTTTCATGTTGATAATGAAGACATTTTAAAACTCACTGTACTGTATTTACATTTTGCCACTGAAATTTGATTGAAAAAAATGATCAATATTCAGTGTGACAATGGTCACACTGATACCTTGGAAGGGAACAAGGACTGTCAATCTTCACTGTGCTTATCGTACTCTTGAGTGCAAAAGTCACTTTCAGCCACACTGCTGTTATGACAGTGAGAAATTACCACTGTCCTTTATTTTCGAAACCAGAGGCAAATAAACTGTAGCATTGTCAGGGTACAAAAGCAGATGCAAGGCAGGCATACAGCTCATTACCACAGAAAATACCATCCATCCATTTTCTGCATTGTAGTGCAAGACACTGGCCTACTAACCCAATGCAAATAACTTCCAGTAAGCTTCACATCTTTGCTTCACTCCAATAGCAGTAACAAACTGAAATTAGCCTACAAATAGATCCCATAGAAACACTTTCTTTTAAACATTTAAGCCTAACCAATCTGATTGCTGAATGGTAAAGGGCACCTTTAAAAGCTGCAGAATGCAAACCAAATGCAAATCACACATCTTACCTTGAATGTGGTAAACCAGCTTACAAAATCCTCATTAATACTAAACAGATGTTCCAACTATTCTCTCCAACACAATAGCATTTTACCCAGGCATGAAGTAAGCAAAGGCATGTGAAAATGTACTTACAGCAGAGTCGCTGAAGAGATTACAGAAAGCGTACGCGATATGGATTAAAACCCAGACTGAAGAGTTTGTCTTTCAACAACGGGTGCAAGGGTTCAATGGCATGGTCCCTCAGGTCTGCTGCACCCCATAATGCCACGCTGAAGGAGGCCCAAATGGATGGAGTTTCCACAAGGGCAGAAACAACTGAGCACATACTCCATGGTGACCGGCTCGCCAGGAATCTATTTGGCCCAAAACAGTGCAATTAACTCTAAGCACCAGGTCTGTATGAAAAACCCAGGCTGGCCCCCATGCTCGGTCTGAGAGGGGATAGGGGTAATGACACCCCCAGGACTCTACAGTTCCATGTCCTCTTCAGCAGGGCCCTGAGCCTGGGGGTTACAGAACAACATGGCGGGGGGCTCGTGTTCACATAGCGTGGCATCTAGGTTAGCGGGCACGGGGGTGGGGGTGGGAGTGGGGGTGTGCCGGCACGCCGCCTGCTTCCTCTGCCTATGCAGGGATTCCTTCAGCCTACGTGGCAGAGTCTCCTCTGGGGGGCGCCATAACACCAACTCCATGCAGGAACGGCTTCTGTGGGATGCAGGGACAGAGAGACAGTGAACAGTCTGGCAAAAGAAGTAAATTGAGCCACATCAAACTGGGATGGTTTCAAGAGCAGCAATTTAACTGTTTAGCTGTTGCAGTAAATGCACTAATTTTGGAAAATGTAGAACATCTACCTCAACTTCATTCATAAAACATAAAATAGTAAAAAATGGAAGCCGTATATATATGAAAGTACTTACACTGACTGTGCCACGGTGTGGGGGAGGATGTCACCCAGGCCCTGCTGCAGCCCCTCCTTCAGGCTGTCTGACATCACTAACACTGGCCGGTTCTGTGTTTGATCCACATCCAGGTCTTCCTCATCCTCATCATCCTCCAGGGTTATCCTGTATGCCATTTTCACACAACACATGAATGCTTGGATAATTTATACAACCAAACAGGTTTTGCTTATTTATTTATTTATTTTTTTAAAGCATTATGGCACCAAATATGGGCTGGACGAATAGAACATGACTGAAATGACCAAAGGACACAGTAAAACCACCTCCACCCTCCACTGTCCCCTAGAGGTCACCCTTGCTTACCGGTCTTCAATCTCCTGCAGGCGCCTCTGGGCTGCCTCTACCTCCATGCAGGAACCCTCAGCTTCTGTGCAGGGAAGTGCAGATGGGGAGGCTAGGTACTGCGGGGCGGGTTCAGGCAGAGGGCTTGCAGGCATTACTTGAACAGGCTCAGTGCTGGTATTTCCCCAAGGCAAGTACGGCCCTTGGCCTGTCAACTTCCTTCTTTTGGGACTGCAACCACTAGGGGTAACAAAGTCAATATAGAAATTCATTCATGAATTATGCAAAAAAGCCACTGACTTTCACAATTGGTCAGGTAACATAAACCTTTAAATTAGACTTTACAGAGAGAAACACAAAATAATCACACTACACTTAAGCCACAAAAGAGCATTACTTAAAAGTACTTATTTTTCTTGTATTCCTTCTGAATTACTAAAGCTCATTTCCTGAAACCTATCATTTTCTCAAAACAGTAAATACAAAACCCAATTTTCAAGCTACACTGACTCATCTTGCAAAAATCAATCCACTAAACTCTTTTACCTTTGCTCAAAATCAAAAACTGCTTTCAGATCATGCATCCAGTTAATACAAACACTACTAAGCAGACACACACTAGAGCAAAAAATTGAAAACACTACTAGCCAAACTGTTTCTAGCAAGCAGAGAAAAGTTCACTGTGGATATAATCTTTTGCATGTTGAGCTGCAAAACTGGAAATCAATTGCACATAACTGTAGTTAAAAAAGTTTATTTAGCAAAAATGTTTGTATATAACTTTGTGTAAAACAATGTGTAATTTGCATTATTAGGCACTCCAAAAAAGTTTCTGTAAAGGACAAAATAAATTCAAATGACAGGCAGCCAAAGTCAAGGAAAATGATTTTAGCATCATTTACATGTCATAGGGATGGGTCAGGACTGAGAACTTCATCTATATCACTGCCAATGTTTTCCCCTGCTAGGCAACAGAAGACTCCTCTGTTGTGACCCATCCATACCTTAACATCAAAACTCAACTCACCTATGGCACTTGCACTCTTTCCCCGCATGTATTCTCTATTCTAATCACTCATTGGCTTCATCACATGTTGAGAAATGTGTAAGAACAATTTTGAGTTATTGTGTTTTAATGATGACAATTGTGTAGTTGTATTTGGCTATTGCAGTCTGTTTGCCATTTTGCATCAATGTTCGTCACAATGAAAAATGTGTTTTGAATAAGAATGTGTTTAGAGTTTTGCAAAAAGGGTGAAATCAGATCGTCAGATTGTCTCACTAGGTGAACATTGCTTAAGGTTTTAACAAAAGTCAAAGTATTTGAGTAATTGAGTTTTGGCAATTGACAGTTTTGTCAGAATAGGGTTTAATGTTTTAGAATTTCAAAAACTAACATTAAAGACTAACAACCGCTTCAAGGACGGGAAAACAGCCTTCATCACCCATTCTTTTCTCTTACTCACTCATCATCATTTCTTCTCTTGTGCTTTCTCAGACATCTTTTCTCCCAGCTCCTAAATACTCATAGAAAAGCGACAAAAGATGCCAAATGTTAAGAGAGCTTCATGGATATTCAACAGTACAGCTAAACTTTACTGCCTAGAAAAAACTTTTTGAAAATCTCACAGAAAGCAATGCAGATAGGGAAACTTATTTAAGGTCTTTCTGCAAAGACCAGTGTAAAACTATGAGAAAACTTTGAGCTGAGACACTATCAGCTCATCACTGATAACACGTAACAAGACAAAGACACATTCAAAAACATTACTACAGATAAGTAGTCTTAGATTAACGCAAAGTATATTACTCCCAATCTCCCTCTTCCATCACAAGCTTTGAGGAAATTGAACAGACCATTAAACTTTATAGCTAATATCAACAGATAATCTCCTTCCATCCATTTTGCAGCTGCTTCTAATACATGGTTGTAGCAAGTCTGAAGCCTGCCCCAGCCAGAATAGGGCAAGTGCCTGGGAATATCCTGGATGGCATTCGAAGGCATCACAGAGCACCCCCCCCCCAGGCATATTATGGGTTAATTATTCAATAGTAAAGCTTCATGTTTAAAGCCAAATATTTACTGTGAAACCATGCACCTTTAAGTATGATTTAGAAATATGCAGACATAGTGACTGAGACACTCACGAGCTTTGGACTGATACCCCCGTAAGGTGCTTGTGGTCAGAGGCCCCCCTAGTCACCCTCATGTCTGAGGTGTGGGCCAGCCCAGGGATGGGGTACAGTGACGGCAGGAAGCCCAGCTCACTGCTGAAGGTGTCAGACCTGTGCATGTCAATACGGAGCCCGAGTCTCCAACCACTGCCGTAAGTACCTTCACTGTGGATGAGAGAATCAATTGTTAGAGATGAAGAACTGCCATAAAAATAAAACCCTGAAGTGAAACGTTATAAAATTAGTGAGAAAGGGGTGACCATACAGCCACATATGTTAATATTATTCATTAATTTTTAGTGCCTGTAGCAGAAGGCCCTAATGAGGGTTAGTGTTTAGTTCTGTGGGTTAGAACTTTGTGCCAATGCCTAGAAGGTCACCGGTTCAAATCCCATGGTTAATAGAGTAATGATCCCTAGTATGCCAATTTACCCCAGATATTGCACCAGGGGCATGGAATCAATGGCTGACCCCAAGTTTTGCTCTCATCTGTGCATCTCACAGAACTGCAATAACATACAAAAACAAAAGAGTGTTTATGTACTTGTTCATATGGTGATCAATAAGTATAATTTCTAGAGAAAACTAATTCATATTTCCAGAAGGATTGAAATTGCTCACCCCCCTATCAAAATCTGAACACAGGCAATTTTTGTGCAAAGATAACTTTCTTATACAATTCATTATAGATTTCATAAAAGTAGTAAAACCAACACACACACAAAACCAAGAGGTTTTGGACTTTTTCCATGCATCTTTTTTAATAACAAATTAACATTTATTCCAGGGACTAGACTGAACTACCAAAAAATTCTATGTATGTTTCATATCTTATGAAAACCAAATGAATAGAGCGTGATTCTCAGCTCATATATGAGACACCCATGAATGGGACAGTAACGCAACCAGCCTCTCAGAGATTTGCATGAAAGAACGCGTGGGAGTGACACAGGCCATTTAAAACAGCTATGCGTGCAGGCCCCCCGAGAACGTTGTCACTTGGTTTCGAACCCCATACAAGGACACACGCGGTAGTGCATGCAGGGAATGTCTTGGTTATCTGAAACACTTCAGATAACGTAAAATGTTAACTAACATCCACACCTTAGCTTAAGTATAGCTGACGCAGTTAGTTAATCAGTAATACCTGAAAAAAAACAGCTGACATTTGTTAATAATGACCATTACTACCCACGCGTTAAACTGTATTAAACAATGGATTAATACACAGAACAATAATGAATTCCTAATATGTCAGATATGACCACCAGATTAAAAAAGTAAAGCTATTTTACTGTGATTCTTAACTCTACCTTCTTTCACAAGACATTAGCTATCTAACTATGCAAGCCAACAAGTCTCAAATTTAATTCAAAATCTTCAACGTATCCATATCAGTGTGGTTTCTAGAGCCTGATGCATAGCGCTTAAAATCGCAGTCATCGTAATTTAAAGAACTATTTTTTGCCATTTAACAACTGAATGAATTACCATCTGGCATATATAAACACTGGATGGTCTACACAGGTCTTCAGTTTTAAAAAGGACGGATTTGCTTGACTGATATGCACGGTGCCTGGAAGCTGCTGGCAATAACCAAGTCTAGCTGGCAAACACTGCATGCTAACACGCAATCTTGAGCCATTACACTTAATTTAAGTTTAGGCGGCTAAGTATGCATACCCTCATAAAATGTGCTATAACACGCATACATCCTTTACAGAGCTAACCATCTTTGCTAATTTAATCTACGAACTGTAGTTTATCGAGATGCTAATAATAAAAACATACTAACGTCTGCACACATTTCGTTTCCAGGTAAGCGAAATGAAATTTAAAAATGTAGCAAAACTCTTCTTTCTAACAGAATCTAAATATTCATGAGAAGAAAATTACCCGGTGTAAGCAAGCTGCGTTTTAATTAAAAAAAATCTCCTCAGATACAACACAACGCTAAACCCCGTTGCTGGCTACTCCTTCCTCATAGCTTGTTATTTTGGTACACGCTCATTGGTTCGTTAGATTCTCCATGTCACCGCGGCTCTCGTCACTTCTAGAAAAGTTAAACGGAAAGGTTCACGGGAATTGTAGTTCTCTTGGAAACGTCTACGACCGTTTAAGTTCTGGACTCGAAAGTCCAGAACTTTCGAGTGGTGACGCTACAGATGAACCGCCATAGTTATTGGTTCGGTGAAACCGAATACGTTATGCAAATTTCTCTGTATTTTCCCGATCTCATGTGTTGGTGTCAGTTTTTAATGTCACTTCGCCCTTGAAGGTCGACCTGCCACTGGAAAATATGCTTTTCTGTGTATTGTCAAATGTTAGTGTCGAGGTTTTTATTCCATTTCTATGCGATTTCTCTCGACTGTTTACGTTACACGGACTTTAGCTCGCACTGCATGAATAGATAGTGTATTGGCTTTATGTGCTATATGGAGAGCTTTCAGTTCGTAAGTAAATTGTCCGCTGCATATTTGTTCGCATTTTTCGGTGTGTGTTTTAAAGTTTATGCTCCTTTATCAGATAAGCTCTAACTTTTTTTTACTATGAATAGCTGCTGTTACTCATGTTAACTTCGGTAACTGTTTATCCACCTGTATCGATCTGTATCTCTTATCCGAAGCAGGATCCCATTGAGTTTCTCCTGAGAAGCGCTGCACAGGTTGGGGCCATTAACAGACAATAAGGGCAAACTAGAAACTGAAATTCATCCAATCCACGTGTCTTTAGACTATGGAGAAAAAATAGGAAAATTCTTGTTTTGAGTGTCCTGCATTAACAGTAATCTACCACATACACAAGATAAAGAACAGATGGTATCACTGCCTTCTGAGATATGAGATACAGGGAGGCCTGATGAGGCAAATACTGAATATTTAGTATGATGGTTTCTGATTAATGATACAATAGAACTTTGTCGTCATTGTCTTCAAACAGCATGTCTGCCCATCCTTTGCTTGTGTTGAAATCACAAATTTTCATGTTGTTCATGTTGTGGTTTTTCCTTCCCCGGCAAATCAGAAGTCGCTCGTGTAGATCCAAATTCAGTCTTTATTGCAACAATTAAGTTACAACCAAGGTCGGACACTTACAAGTGTGTCCAATACTGTCTTACACCAATTTTTATACAAGTACTTATCATTTAACAATATCTCATCACTTGAGCATCATCATTCCTTCAACCATTCACAATCGTTGTGTTTTCCCTTAATCCACACCCCTAGGTGATAAGTTTGTCAGTCATTTCTTTTACTGTCACATTTAGCCCTAACATAAAGTAGCTAACAGAAACTCTTAGGCTAACAAAAGGTGCAAATACATACTCAATTGATTACGTTGTGTTGATTACATTATAATGATTACATTGTAATGATTACATCATGGGTATTTGGCATGCTTTTTAATAATACCATAATGATTATATTGTATGTTGTATAGTGCTAAATAATATTCCATATTTACAGTCTTTATAGGAAACATACAAAGTCTATTGGAGACGGAAATAAAAAAGTATGACCTCCAGATGGACCACATGATTCAATGATTTTGAAACATGATTTTGGTTTGCTGCCTCTGGATGTTTATTTTGGGTGGTTTCCAGTTAGCGTCTGCATTTGTTTCTTTGAACTCTGGGCTTTTGTTCTTTCTTTTGGCCCACAGCCTATCGCATAATAATTCTTTCTGTCTTAGATTCTTTAGCCATTTTCTGTGATGTGTACATGTTCTCAGGTATCATTACTGCCTTATAATAGACTATAATCTCTCATTCAGCCTCATTCATCCCACCTTGTATGTGTTTTCTTGGGAGGGGATATGCTTTAGGTCAACCTGACTTTGGTTTCATAGGTAATTAAAATGGGTGGTAATTTCCTTTGCAAAAATATATAATCACCTTTGGCTGAATTCTTAAATGTTATCAGGTTACCAAGTCAAATTCTTAGGTTTATGTAATTTCTGAGTAACAGACGCGTCTAGTTGTCTGAGTTTCTCCACATGCCTACATTTTTAGTCGCTGAGTACGCGATCGCTTCTCCATAAACTCACATAAAAAATAACCTTTCCTGGACGCACAGATACAGGATGTATCGTCATCTGCAGCCTCGCTCTCTGTTGAGCATTGTACGTCACGTGACACTGCACAGAAAATAACTTCAGTAAAAACTGGGAACACATGACAGGACGGTCAGGAAACAACAATTCCTTCAGGACGACGGGTCTTTAATCTTCACGAACGGTCCCTGTAGCGGGTAAGGCGATCGTTACTCTTATCAGATATTTATTACTAAAGCGGACTGTAAATCTTTGCGCTTGAATTAAATTGCAATATAATTATGTTTAAACAAGATTTGTCTTTTCTGAAGCTGAATACATTTTTAAAATGTACACCTTAGCCTAAAAGGTTATTCTAAGAGGGGGGTTATATTTCTCTTGACAAAGGGGAGCAAATTGACGGATGTAGATCTTGAAAAGAAAATTTCGCTGCAAACAAAAGTAATTTAATACAACGATAGGGTTCAGTGTAGTAGTGAATTATATTGTGTTCTGTTCTTCTAGGTCACTGAAGATGAGTTTCTTATTATTCTTCCTTGGCGCCATTCTTGTTCTCGTTGGTGGCAAACAATGCGGTAAATTTCCATTGATACACTTATAACATAAAATACTTTTTAGATGGACTATTATTATCTCTATGGTTTTTATATGGTGATTATACTGAATCCTAGGGAGACATGTCTTCGTGGGAAAATGCTCGGTTAGAGACTTTTGAATATTCCTCACAATTATTTGAAGTTTGTCTATTAATTGTGAAATGGTAATAGACAAAACATGACAGGATGTGGAAGCCAGAAAGTGAAAAGAAGACTAAAGAATATTTTGAAAGAATGCAGACGTAATTATTACATCATGAAGTCCATACTCTGTCATTGCATTCTGGATGAAGACTTTGTAGAAGAATTTTGTGTCTTTAAGTTTCTGAAGCATTGTCATCCATCCTTCTATCAATTGCTTATACCAAGTAGGGTTGCAGGCCTGGCCAAATATTGCGAATTTGGTTATGAATTTTTTTTTTATTTTATGTTGTATGACTTTTATTGTTACAAGGTAGAACCCCTGGTTTCTAATCTTTATACTTGCCATTCTTGGGCATCACTAGTAATACTGGTCAAAGCACGGTATGTCCTGTGTTGGGTATCTAGGCCAGAGAATGCTGGGTGGGTTATGGATGGCTGGGGTCCTCTCGCTCCCTCTCATCACCCTACAGCTTCAGGGGCAATCAAAGTAGCTTGCAGTCCACAGAGCGAACAGAGAGTGGCTGGCAGCTAGTCTGCAGCCATTCCAGAGCTGGCATGGACCTCAGTGCTGAAAGGAACACCTGTGAGAAATGGGATAATCATTTGTTTCAAATTGGGAGAGAAAATGAGGATAAATTAAGGAAAGGAAAAACTTTTGACCCACATGTTCCGATCTGTGTTTCGACACACAACATAAACATTACATTATAACCTGAAGGGATGTTTTTTTTTTGGCAGTGAACTGTGGAGTCAGCATTGGTTTAGAACCAATCAAATGTGATGACACATGCATGCCCTTTGCTCAACACACTAGTGGCATTAGTGAGCCGGATCTGAACCTATGAACTCTGTGTTTCTGCTTGTGACTTGCTTGTGGAATGTGATGCGTCAGGTTTAGTCTCAGTGACCCTGTGTAGAAAAAGCTATTTTCTTGTCTGTATGCAAAGTGACACTGCTGTGATGCAAAGTTATGGGGAAATGTAGCTAAAAGTACCATTACAAAACATTATCTTCTTATCAAACACTTGCAGTTGTCTATAAATATCAGAGATTTTTCATATGGTCACATTAAGTTTTAATGGTAGTTACTTCATCCCTACTGTCCTTTGTTTGGATGTCTGTGTTTCAATGTGTAGTAATTATTTCAGAGTTTAAATTACTCAACTGGCAACCTGACAAAGTACTAGGCAGGTTTTAATTATCCATTTTAATCTATGCCTCCAGTGTGAACCCTGCATTTTGACATTTCTTCCTGATGTAACTAAACACGTGTGTTTTAAGTTTGGTATGACCTGCCCTGTCTGTGTGATGCTCCCCCTGACCTGACCTGAACCTATTCCTGTTCATGGTGTAAACCCTTATACCTCGCATGTTTTGGGTCTGAGAGCCTGATATCCACTGTGGTCCCAACTAATCATGTATGTCTATACAGAGCTTTCAAGCACTGACCACAAGGAGCTTATGCTCTCCCTCAACAAGAAGCTGCTGCGCTCTCTGGAGGATCCAAGCCACCAGTCCAATCCCAGCGTGCACCTGGCCCTGCGACTTTCCACCCACCACAGCCAGGCCACTGAGTGCAAGAGTTTGAGTTACATGAAGACTAAGTTACACAGTGATCTGGAGAGGTACGGTTGTTCAATCTTGAAAGCAACATTGAAAACAAAGGAAGGACATGGAACAGCATTGATCTAAAAAAAGATGTCTGTTCCTCTCCCTTTGAAACATGCGACTTAAGAATCACATGTCCCAAAAACAGTTGGGTCAGCTGAATTACAACACACAATATTGCATCAACTTAAGGCCTATTGTAACTTACATAGGTCTTAATAAAATATCCTAGCTCATCCTTCTCCCTGTCAGAATATGGTACAAAGTGATATCTTGTGTGCTTAGATTGACTGCTGGAGAAAATGTGGATTTTGACCAGAGCAAATGCTTGGCCACATTGAAAATCTAAAGAAACCCTAGAAGAGGCTGTTTACATTGTGACTTGCAAGTTAGGTTGCAGTTGGGCTATCATTTTCTGTATAATGCAAAACACAGAATCTTCAAAAATCCAGGACAAAATGTCTCTGGAAGAGTATACGCTCACCTAAAGGATTATTAGGAACACCTGTTCAATTTCTCATTAATGCAATTATCTAATCAACCAATCACATGGCAGTTGCTTCAATGCATTTAGGGGTGTGGTCCTGGTCGAGACAATCTCCTGAACTCCAAACTGAATGTCAGAATGGGAAAGAAAGGTGATTTAAGCAATTTTGAGCGTGGCATGGTTGTTGGTGCCAGACGGGCCGGTCTGAGTATTTCACAATCTGCTCAGTTACTGGGATTTTCACGCACAACCATTTCTAGGGTTTACAAAGAATGGTGTGCAAAGGGAAAAACATCCAGTATGCGGCAGTCCTGTGGGCGAAAATGCCTTGTTGATGCTAGAGGTCAGAGGAGAATGGGCTGACTGATTCAAGCTGATAGAAGAGCAACTTTGACTGAAATAACCACTCGTTACAACCGAGGTATGCAGCAAAGCATTTGTGAAGCCACAACATGCACAACCTTGAGGCGGATGGGCTACAACAGCAGAAGACCCCACCGGGTACCACTCATCTCCACTACAATTAGGAAAAAGAGGCTACAATTTGCACGAGCTCACCAAAATTGGACAGTTGAAGACTGGAAAAATGTTGCCTGGTCTGATGAGTCTCGATTTCTGTTGAGACATTCAAATGGTAGAGTCAGAATTTGGCGTAAACAGAATGAGAACATGGATCCATCATGCCTTGTTACCACTGTGCAGGCTGGTGGTGGTGGTGTAATGGTGTGGGGGATGTTTTCTTGGCACACTTTAGGCCCCTTAGTGCCAATTGGGCATTGTTTAAATGCCACGGCCTACCTGGGCATTGTTTCTGACCATGTCCATCCCTTTATGACCACCATGTACCTATCCTCTGATGGCTACTTCCAGCAGGATAATGCACCATGTCACAAAGCTCGAATCATTTCAAATTGGTTTCTTGAACATGACAATAATGAGTTCACTGTACTACAATGGCCCCCACAGTCACCAGATCTCAACCCAATAGAGCATCTTTGGGATGTGGTGGAACGGGAGCTTCGTGCCCTGGATGTGCATCCCACAAATCTCCATCAACTGCAAGATGCTATCCTATCAATATGGGCCAACATTTCTAAAGAATGCTTTCAGCACCTTGTTGAATCAATGCCACATAGAATTATGGCAGTTCTGAAGGCGAAATAATCCTTTAGGTGAGTGTATATAGTGAGTGCTATAACATCTATTTCCTCAGTTTTGATTTTGAACCCTGTCTCTGAGTTGTAAATTGCTTGTTCTTCCCAAATTACATGGGTTTCCTCCTGCAGTTCAAAGACATGGACAGTTAGGCCTACTGTGTCGCTAAATTGCAAATAACATACAATCGTGTGCACGTGCCTCACACAGGGTGTATCCTTGCCTTGTGACCTATGCTTCAAACCCTCTGTTAGAACTACAGGGCCCTGTTTTCTCTTTGATCCTATTCCCTGTTCCCTGCAGTTCTCTTTCCGATCTGAAGCCAGTGACGGGCCTTCTGGCCCTGTACCTCCTGGCTCTGAAGGCCTCCTGCTATGACCTTGGTGCAGTCAAGCTCAATGATAAAAATCTCATCCATCACCTGAAAAGTCAGTTGGAGCAGGAGAAGGATCACATCCCCAGTGAGTTCCAGTCACATACTGATCTATAGTGTCTTTTGCTCTCTGGTCTAGGCATTTTCTGTCCATCGAGCTCACGTCTTTGCTCTTCGCAGTTTTGCTCATCACAGTCCCATCCAGCCTGCTCTTGCAGTTGGCTGTCACATCGATTCCATTGGTGTTTGTCTACATTGCAGCCAAATCGCGACCTTTGACCAGCTACTACCAGTACTCCCTTGGTATTCTGGCCCAATGCGTGAGTGGTGTGCGGCTGAACCCACACGTGAGGAACAAGCTGATCCATGCCATTAAGCAGGGCCACATCGGTCATGGGGAAAACCATGAGGGTGTTGGTGAGTCCATGCAGGGCAGGAGATTCCCTTCCTCCTCATTTGTTCTCCTTTGTTGCTCTCAATGGCTTCTGGGTAATATTGAGTATTATGAAAAGCATCAGTCCAAAATCTATTTTGGTTAAACTTAATTTTATGTAGTGCTCATCGTAACATGTTGGATAAAGGAAGAAGGAAAAAAGCTATTTCTGGACATAATACCCTGGTGCAAGTGAGGATAAGATTAAAATTAACACAAAACCAGAGGTCATTATCAATGCATAATTTGAGCCACTGATTTTATATAAAATCTATGGGACATAAATGGCAATGGGATAGACACCTACATGAGAGGTTTGATCCAGATGATGCGAATCCAAAGTACCTTTGTGGTGATGGCGCCTCCTGGTCTCTCTGCAGACACGCTGGCCATGGCTGGAATAGCCCTGCAGTGTGTGAAGGAGTTCCCTGGGCAGGAAGAGGATGCAGCACTTAAGGAGGCCCTGAACATAATCAAGGAGAAGCTGAGAGGCTCGCAACGAGCCGATGGGCACATGGGCAATGAGTTCAGTACCGGGCTGGCAGTGCAGGTAATGGCCCTGATACCTGGAGACCTCCTAGAAATAAAAAGCAAAGGGGGTGCTTCTTTGGCAGGTCTAGATGTGTCGGTCTCTTGTCCTCCCTGTCGCTCTGTGCTCGTCTGTGTCGTCCCTCTGTTTCTGCTCTTCAGTGTTCACCAGTGCTGCTCTGTCTCATCCTGTGCCCATCTCAGTCCCTGCTGGCAATGGGCATCCAGGTGTCTGAGTGCTCTGCTTCCATGGAGGCCTTGAGGAACAGTGCCAGGACCGGTGTCTACCACAACCCCATGGCCATCTCACAGGTCCTGCCTGCCCTCCAGCAGCGCACTTATCTGCATGTTAAGACGCAGGGCTGCACCAAGGAGGATGGTATGAGTCAGAGTCACCAGCGTTTTTATATTTTTGGGCATATTACATATTACATATGTGTGTTTAGTTTTTCTACATACCTTTTAATAGCTATGATTCTGTTCTTAATTGTGGCGGTGGGTTTTTCCTGCAGACAGTCTGGTGCTGGAATCCAGGCCTCCGCCTGGGGAATCCGATGATGTCATGGTATCTGTGGAGGTGGAGGTGGTCAATTCAGAGGGCCGCCCTGCCTTAAACTCCATTGACATTCCAAAGGGATCCACTCTCCTTAAAGCTTTGGAGCTCCTCCAAACGAAAGGGGAATTTACGTGAGTAAGGTGCTGGTTTGCTGTAGGGTTTGGCAGTTAGGGAACCATGTAGGTCACCATGTGTGTCCAGAGAAATTGGTACAAAATTTATCATGCCAGTGAAAGACATGTGATTGAAATTGTAGCCAATAGCAAGTCGCCAGCTTGTGAAGATATTATGGACTACAGCTCAGGTGCAAATTTCATGCGCTGTCTATGTAATGCTTACAATAACAGCCATGGAAATGTGAAGCAAGGTGCAGGTCAGGTCTTGTTCCTCCTTGACTGTAGGTTTGAGACTGAATCCAGTTTGTGGGGCCCCTTCCTGAGCATGGTGAATGGGGTGCAGGCCCGCCAGATCGACCGCGACTACTGGCAGCTCTTGTCTGATGGCACGGTTCTCACTGAAGGTGTGGGGGGGGTATTTTTGTCATTTTTATGCGCATACTAAAAGTGCTTCATTGACTAAGTCCTTTGGGAAAAATGATTTAAAAGGTTTGAGTTCTTTAAAGATATATGACTTGTAAGGCCTGGTGATTTTACAGGCTTTGCTCTGGTCTGTAAGTTTATATACCGGACCCACTGTGGATATGACACTAGTTCCCAACCAAGTGTTTCCTCTTGTAGGTATTGGTGACTTTAAGATTGTGAAGCCACAAAAGATCTCCATCAAAAAAATGAGATTCTGAAAGCAAGAGGATCCCAGTCATATGCACATTACCCTGCGACTAAGCTGTGCTCCAGCCTGAGAAAGGATTCATGTTATTTTAGTGCTGCAAAGATGTACTTTTTTCCAAGTTCAATCAAAGACTGAAATGTAGAGGTTGCTCCAATTTTAAATCATGCAAACTTTAAAATTAATTTATGCTTGCTGCAATGAATTTGTTATATTCTCAGACTAGGGTGGTGGACAAGTTGTAATACTTGTAAGAGTCACTCTGTGTATAAGATGATTATCATACATGCTGCCGATTGGCTGTTGTCATACTGATGCTTTTGTAATGTCAGGAATTACCTCTGTCATTTTGTTTTGCTTCTGTTAATGGAGCCAGATTGGTCACAAGCACTCTGATAGAGGCCATGCTAGATAGTCCACACTGAACAGGATTCAGAAAGCTGTCAACTCATTTTCAGTTGTGTTATTCTGAGATTTTGAGTGAAAATTCTTTTTACTATTAATCAATTTTCTTGATGTGCTGTGTCATTTTGCAGATGACTTGACTAACAGTAAATACTTTGGAAAAAGTCCAGGGGTCTCATTTATAAAACTTTGCATAGAACTCCTATAAAAAGTGTACGTGCGCTCAAAAGAAGAAAATGACGCACACAAAGAAAAAGTCAGTTGTATAAAAACGTATGCACGCACACCTGCAAGCAATATGCGCTTTATTTTTCGCCCTCTACACGCCCCCTTCAACCATGCATGGTCAATGCAAATCACCTCATGCATATTTAAGCATCCGATATAAACCTGAAAAACTCATGGCATCATGGCAACCGAGGGGAAAAGTAAAAAGAGAAACTTCTCTGAAACCGAGATAGATGTGCTTGTGGGTGAAGTGGAAAGCAGAAAAAATATTTTGTACTTGGTGGTCACAGTAGTGGGGTGACAAAAAGAAAGGCAGTGAGTGGCAACGGGTAACGAATGCTGTGAATGAAGTGAGTGCTGCAAACAGGACAGTGCCCAAAATTTTCAAAAAGTGGTCGGATTTGAAAGTGATTATAAAAAATAGAATTGCAGCGCATCAAATGAGTGTGTCTGCTACCGGAGGTGGTGAAGGCACATCGAAGCTGACACCTATTGAAACCCGGATGGCTTCAATACTGGGGGAAACAAGTGTGTGTGTGGGGTGGTGTCTGAGAAAGAGGGAGACACAGACATGGCCAAGACGACACACGGTAAGCGGTTTTTATTTGCATTTCTGAGAAAAAAAGTTTGACTTGACAAAGCACAATGTAATGGTTTGGTTGTCCCCCAGCTAGAGACAATGGGAGCAATAGGTGGTGAGGAGTTGCAGGAGGTGGTTGAATAGCGCCTGGGTTGTCCTCAGCACCAGCAAGTCCTGGGTGCATGCAGCCTCTGGAAGTGGCCGGGTTCTGACTGAGGCTGTCTTGGCGACACAACGAGATACAATTATAGCAATCGAAGTAATTTTGTATTAATTGAAACAAATAAGAGCTGTGTTAGGTTCTCAACAGCATTAAAAGATTTTGTTAAATATACCTTTGCACTGCTGCCTTCACAAACGCCGCATTACATCTTCCCGAAGTCTTGCTCCCAATGATAGCCATCATGCCGCGCACGGGGCTGTGGGTCCGATTCCTCATGCTGTGGTAAAGGTAGGCCAGGAGGTAGAGGAATGCCGTTCCTCTGTACAGTGTTGTGCAATACGGTACAGGCTCTAATAATTCGGCACACTTTTGGGGGGTGGTATAACAACCGGCCACCTGATGCGTCTAAACGTCGCCATCTGCATTTCAGCAGTCCGATCGCACGCTCCACAACGGTGCGCGCACGAGCGTGAGCACTGTTACAGCGATGTTCCTCTGTGCTCTGGGGGTTTGAAAGGGGATGAGGAGTAGAGCTTAGATCGGGCCCAAAAAATTAAACCCGATCCTACCCGAGCCCGTGCACCTTGTGTCCGAGCCCGACCCGGTCCGACACATTAACTGTAATTATGAGCCCGAGCCCGATTTAAACCCGACTATTTTTTAATACGTGAGCCGTTGTAACAGACGTTCTCAACTACAATTCTAAGTTGTTTGAACTACAGAAATTAGTTTAGATTTATCTTAATGAAAAATGCAACAAGGACGAAGCATGTAAACTGCATTGTTTGTTTATTCAGAATAGATCGCAAATAGATCCGAATGAAAAAAAAACGTGAACAATGATAAACACAGAAAATGAACAAGTAATTAACTTTGGATGGCATATTTAATAAATATGATAACTTTAAGTAAAGGGTTAAGAAAAAGGTTAAATCCTTCCGTAAGCAGCCAACGAGGTATGTGTTAATTAAGTTTTAGTTAAGTTTGTTGTATTTAGCCATGTAAATGCTAACTGAGGTTCGTGTTAACTGTATATGAATTCTCTAAGCTGTCTTTATTGTTATTTATATTTCATTTGAATTTCAATGTTTGTTAGCTAATATTGTAAGTAAATGTGCTTGATTTTGTGTTTCCGTATCTGTATTTAGTTCTCACGTCTGCCGTGATGGTGATAATAACGAATTAAGCCACTGTCTTTCGAATAAACCGTCGGCTCAGTTAAATGCAAAGGACTCTTGTGCTCGTGTCTTACGGGAGGGAGCTACATTTATAATTATGGCATAGCTCTCCACCCAATTAGGCTAATTAAGTAATGATTAAAAAAAAAAAACACACACAAATGCTTGATCATGGCCCCGCCCAGCCCGGCCCGGCCCGGCCCGGCCCGAAGATAGTGGCAGGAAATATCGGGCCGACCCGGCCCACGGGTCGGGTCGGGTCAAGTCTGGGCTCGGCCTCGGGCAGAGAATCTAAACTCTAGTGAGGAGCCAGCGCTCCGCTGTCACCTGCATTTCATAACAGAACAATTCAATACATGAACAATGAATTCTTATAAAATTATACAATGTTTTTATCACCTTACCGAGAAGCCAGCCATCGCGTGCAGCGCCAGCCAGCAGTCTGCTCCCTACACTGCTGTGTTCCAGGATGAATGAGTCATGTGTTGAACCAGGCAGTCGTGCAACCACGTTTGTCAGGACCATATCAGCGTCACAAATAACTTGCACGTTTATAGAATGCACATGTTTTCTATTCACGTAAATAAATTCGTTTTTATATGGAGCCCTTATTGCAACGTGAGTGCTGTCAATTGCGCCGATTACATTTAGGAAACCGGACATTGCTGCAAATTGCCTTTTGATGTTGGCCTGTTCTCCCACAGTGTAAGGGAACTTAATGTATCTACTAGTAATTTTAATAATCCCATCCAAAACGACAGGTATTATTGCGCTTAGTGATGGTTGTGATATCCCAGACATACAATACAATTGAATACAATTACATTATTATTGTATTTCCTAAACAAGCTTTAGAACAAATTCACAATGTTATTGTTAATTATAACACATACCAGTCGGCTAATTCCCGCTGGTAACAGCCAGTTGCAAGGAACCCCAGGGTGTTCAGCACCTGTATTTGTACCGCGATTGCGCGGTTCCGTCAGGTTGGTCTCTCTAACATTTGACACAGTTCAGCACATAGCTCCAAAAGCACACATCTAGGTAATCTAAATCGGTTTATGAGCCAGTCATCTTCATGGTCCCTGAACACCCATTCCCTTCTAATTCTGCCATTGGCATAATCTTCTAACAATGCCAGGGCATCCATTATATGTTATGTTGCGCACGAATGTGATCGCGGTGTTTATATGTTTTCAGCAATGAGACAGATTGGTTTACACCGTGTCCAAATGACCGTGATAATCACGACCACCACTTATCCATTTACATTTAAACTGCTGCGGCGCATAGAGAAAGTGTAGATTACGTTAAGATTTGAGTCGGATTATATATTTTACTTATATATTTTTTCACTATTATAAATATGTGACTGAATAAGTGAAATGAAGTGTACGGTGTATGACTCACTAGCACAAGGAATTATTATTTATGTACTGATGCCACTCATGTTTTTGCTCACACTCTTCACCCGCGGTCGTATTTTTTTCTCCAAAATGTTCGCACGCATGGGTCAGAGTTGGCGTACTTATGCGCACATAATTCTGCCGTCAAGTTTGTTTCTATAGATCGCAACGTTTGGGTAGAAAGAGGCGTATGCATTGTTCGAATTACGGGGGGTACTGTACCCCCCGATCAAGACCCAGACCCCCCCCCCCCCAAAGACACAAAAATAGCAGTTTGGGGGGTCTTAACCTTTTTCTCTTGTTGTAAAAAAAAAAGATAACCTCACCTTGTAGGAAAATTTTATGTAAAACGATTTCAGTCACCCCTAATGTGGACCGTATCATTTTAACCACCTTGGCGCTAGAAGCAGCCAGTCGGTTGCGTCATTCATTCTCATTGAGTGACCTGTTCATTGTGTTTGTCTGTCATGGTACTGTTTGTCGTGCGTTGGTAAATGTGAGTAGCCAGCAGAAGTCTAGCCTGTTGAAAATGTGTTATTTTACAACCTTCATTTATTCCTTTAAGTGTTTCATCTACTAATGCAAGCTGACGTCTTTATAAGTTGAATTACTTACCATTCATTGTCCTTCTGAGGCCGGTGTTCTGTAGAGTTGAGCTACTTTGCCGAGGTAATCTACCGTAGTGCTAATCGATAGCTCTAACCATAGATTACCTCGACAAAGTAGCTCAACTCCACAGATTAACGCTGGTACAGTCAACGATAGTTACGTTAACTAGCAAGATAAGCTAAGTACTCTATTTAAACCAGGCTTATTCGGTGAGGTACGGTCGATCATGGTCATTTTCCAAGGAGACGAACAGCCTGTGTTTCCACTCTCATTTTATCACGAATAAATTGTGCCTTTCTGAAATTAATTCGCCACTTAGCCTGTGTGGTAATTGTTATTAGGCTAATAACGCATAAGAAGGTCTAACGTTATGCTCTGAAAAAACATTACTATAAGTGAAACCTATAGGGCAACGTAAAAAAAAAGTTAGCTAGAAAATAAGCCCTATTATTTGAATTTTAGTGGTATTGATTCTGCATTCCACAATTTCATATTTATAGACATTTTATGGGCGGGTCGGGCGGGGTGACTGTGGGCTCGTTCACGTACTTAAATTTCAGGTTCATATCAGCTTCATCTGATAGCCCAGATACTGTTTTGTTAAATATAGATTAAATTTTATTCACAGACACAATATGAGGAAAAGGAAAGATGGAGACATCAGACACTTTTTTTGGTGGTAAAAGAACAGTAAGTAGGAAATATTAGTGTTAAGAGCTACAGAACATTACACTAAAAGTATAGGCGCAGTTTTGCAAACAATGTGTATGAAGGAAAGTGGCGGTCAGCAGAAGGCAGGAGAGGCACAGGAGCAGGCAGCAGGAAGATGGCAGGATGAGGACAGTGAGCAGGGAGATGGCAGGATGAAGACAGTGAGCAGGGAGATGGCAGGATGAGGACAGTGAACAGGCAGCAGGAAGATGGCAGGATGAGGACAGTGTGCAGGCAGCAGGAAGATGGCAGGACAGCGCGCAGGACCAAGAGGTGAGTTAGAAATTAGGCTGTACTTTAAGATTTACTGTATCATCAAGACAGATATTAGCCTAATAGGCAAATATTTATTTCTGAAGGCTGTTGGAGTTGGGGGGACTGAGAGGGCAGGAATAACACCAGACTGCTGGACCAGACCAGGCTGTTGGTAAATGTATAGGCTTACTACTTTTACTAATATACTTCTTCTAGGATAATTCCTGGGAGTTATCAAAACCAAATTCTTTTGGATAGAGATAAGTATAATGAGATCTTCTGTATTAATTCTCATTTTGTCGCATGTCCAGACCATGACC